GGCCTATTTCTTCAGTGCCGACACTTCTTTTCTATTCTATTCCATTCTATAATAATAACTTCACACCTCAGTGAACAGCCTTACGGGTGTGCGTGGAGAACACCTCAGCCAAAAGTGCTGCACTACAGATCAGCTGGCCTCGATAAATGTACGGGCGACGGCCTTAGCTAAATTGAACCATCCTTTTCCTCAATTTAAATGCCGACTCTTCCATATGTAATCGACAGATGTTCTATTCTAGCACAAACCTGAGATATTTTAGACATAAATCAATATGTATTATCTATTTCTCAACATTATTTTAAATTTTCATTATTTTCTGTTATATGTCAATAAAATTCATTAATACAGTATAACGACATGATCATTATTTATCATCCATCAAAATGAAAACAGACTTCCTAAAAGGCACAGCACAATTAATATTTATTAAGGTTTAAGCGTTTAAGGAATCACAAGCTTAAAATTTTGTTCATTTTGGGCAAAGAAATATAACTTCTGAAACTTTATAATGAGTCACTGTACTTTCAAAAATGCTTATTCAACTATGGCTAAAATTTTTAATGAACGAATAGTAATTGTTAATATATTCGATGCAGGCATTTACAATGAAGAAATGCAAAATTAAGGATTAAATGTAGGACACAATGACTGTGACTTGTAAAAGATTGTAGGTTTTTTCCAAGCGATTCCGGCTTAAGCATCAATTTTAAACCTAAGATTTTATGCAGTTATTTGTGTAGTTATTGTAGCATTTATATATTTTGCAGAAAAAATTCCGGCTGATAATCAGTCATATTTCGCAATAGTTTGAATTTGTGGGGCTCAATTTTTGAGATTTTAATTCTGATACAGTTTGCGAAAAAATACAGCGAAGAAGTTGTACAAAACCTCTGTGATGGGAATCTTGAAATCGAATTATTATGATCTATTTTAAAATTACTTTGTTTAAAATTAGAACAAAATTAGGTGAAAAATTTTATACTCTTCGTACAACTGACTAGAGCTCAAAAATCTTCACCGAGAGTGGCACAGGCTTAGTCACTATTTCAAATTATGCTACTTATTAGTTATGTTAATTATTAGTATGCTACCTTTTAGTTATACCTGTAATACCGTTTTCTGTTATACATATCGCAAATAAAGGTCCAACTGTGTTGAGAAGCACCCTGCTTTGGTCATTTTAAGTTAAATTCTGTTGCGAATTTTACAGTATAAACCAGAGGTCATAATATTCTGATGAGTGGATTTGAATTTAAACTGTACTGATTACATCACTGAGGTGATTTGGTAGCGTCATCAGAACGGTTTAAATTAAAATCCTGGCGCGTTGCTTTTCGTGAATGCTCCAAAAATTTCAGAATTACACAGCACTTGTTTACCATGCACAATGACTCGAAACTGGTAAACCAAAAATTTGGCGAAGTGCTGAATGTCATTAATACGCAAAAGAGTTCAAGCTATCTGCCTTGTAGGGTTATCTATCAAAGTGAAATACAAATAATGAATTTATGCATCATTCCTGCACATAACTTTATGTTCATACCGTACCTGTAGTCTCCAGATAGGCCGGTTTGGCGTAAAAACTATTCGTATGATTGAACATGTTTGATTTCGGGTATGTACTCTGATTTTCAACAATACTACGATGCTTTTGGGAATGATTGTATTGAACTTAGAAATAAAGCCTGTGGCATTGATTCAACCAAAATTTCAATCCTTCGATTTTAAATGTATTTTCAATCCTGTCAACATACGTCTATGTCACCCGATTAACACATCATAAAAATGTTGTGCAATTAATTCATTTTACTGTGGTTCGTGCGTAGAGTTTATATAAAGCTGTTTTTGTTTACGGTGGTTGGTAGAGTTTATATCTGCTTTGTTTACGGTGGTTGGTAGAGTTTATAGCTGCTTTGTTTACGGTGGTTGGTAGAGTTTATAGCTGCTTTGTTTACGGTGGTTGGTAGAGTTTATATCTGCTTTGTTTACGGTGGTTGGTAGGGAGGGTTGGATTCCTGACAATTAACGACTCACTGCCTGTAACGACTCACAACGGGGACGCAGCCGTGCACCTAATGCATCAAGTATTGATTATTAATCGCGACCACGTGTTTTATTCAACATGACTAATATTGATTTGATTTACCTTTGTTTATAGACCATGAACTTTGGGCCTCCATTTCTTGATGGGCAGTGTGAACAAAAATGGTTGAGTTACTATTTTTTTTATTGCAGATGTGTTCAGTTAAATGTAAACTTGAAAATGCAAAATCGTTTGTAAACGTGTACTTGAAAATTCATGAACAAACAATTAGCCTCTATGTGTTCTAGATTAAACAATATTTACGTGTTTCGCCCAAATTTGCATTAATTTAAAGCGGCGATAATCAATTCCACGGTTGTTTTCTTATATTAAAGACAAATTTTCGAATTCAAATTTGAAACAATTTCAGTTGTGCACAAGATATGGGTCATTTTCTGATTCAAAGTGCTGAAAAATTTGTGTGTCATTTGAGGTTGCGAATTATTCAGAAATATAATATATTTATTTTCACATCACCTGCTGTTTTTAAATATTTTGCATGGTAATTTATTCTCCATTTTTTAATGTAGAACATTTAGCGATCATTTAGCTGCTAGAATCCTGGACTCGGTATGAATTTAGCAGCGAATAATATGCCAAAAAGTAAGTTTTTTCTCCTGACACGTTCTCAAAAGCAGCATACATCATCAGTGTATTTCGTCAAAGTATAACCGTTACTTCTCAGACGTGATGCAAACATTATTTATCCATGGTCAAATTTCAAGAAGTGAGGACGGAAGAAATCTCCACTACTTTTTCATTTTATTAAGCATCATTTCCGGGAATTTAGGGTTTTAAAAATTTTGTATCGAGTTTCAGTGATTTCAAATTTCAGATACGTAGTGATACTTAATTTATACAGTACTTACAGCTACTTGAACATTGAGATTTTGTTAAGAATACGCACCTCAGACGTTACCGGGGTGCGTATTCTCAAAAAGAACATTACCGAGTTGCGTTCTCTGAATAAGGTTGATTTAATGAACAATACAAACAAATTAGGTCTATTTAAACATTTTTGTTAGAATTACAATTCAATGTAAAAAAAATACCTTGCAAAACATCGAATCCCGAATGAAAAGCTAAACATCTTAGTCAAAGTACTGACTGGGGTGCTTATTCTTAATAAAATCCCAACATTGTAAGGAAAGACGCTATCTCGTAATCTAAGATTGGTAGAGATTTAAAATGCCAATAAACAGTTTCATATCAGAACAAAACGGCAAGATTATTGACTATCGAATGAATCATTTCAACGACTCCTTTGTTCTCACATATTAAAAAATTCGCTTAGCATGGGAAATCTTAGCCTAAGATAAAGATAATTACATCAAATCAACACGTGCAATGATTTGATTCTATCAAACCATCATTTTCTCTTTTATTCCACGCAAGAGAGTGAAGACTTCCGCGTTTGATAGATAAATTTAAGTCTATAAAGATTCAAAATCAGAATGAATGATGATCACTAAATACGCCGAGCGTCAATAACTCGATATCAGACAGATTATCTGTTATCTTGTTCTGAACGCTGAATGATTCTCTGCTATTCTCTGCTATCTTGCAGCTCATAAGGAACGAGATATTAGAATTACAAAGAACCTTCAAATCTCTCTCGTTCGTATTAACTGACAACACAGAAGGGTTGCCTGATCATTAAATCCAACGAAAGTACCTAACTTGTCTTTTTAATCTAGACACACGCATTTGGCTACAATAATCTCAATGGTTAAGTGAATACAATAATCTCAAAGTGGATAACATAATCTCTCAGTTGATACAATAATCTCAAAGGTTAAGATTCCGACAGTATCAAATTCGTTCTCGCTTTGAAGATTCGAAGACTCAAAACTGTTTCAATATCTACAGGTATATCAGTAAACTTGCAATACATATGAGCGGAGCAGAGGAAATGAACAGACAATGATAGGTAGCATCTATTCACTATCATCATCTTATTGATATTAAATTGCAATGCAATGCACCACTCACCCGGCGAGAGGTTTTTGCATAAAAGGTCTTGGTCGGCTGGACGCACTGCCAGTCAAATCCTGGGTTGCGTCTCAGTTCGTTCAGTTTCTTACGTTTGCACTGAAACTACGTGGTGGTGAAACACTTGACGTCTCAGAAAATTGAGGTTAGTACGTTGTTTTTCTTAAATTTTGTTAATGATTTCTCACAAAACCTATCCCTTCCTTTTATGCCTTGTAGATATTTGGTTAGCCTGACGAACGCTGTTTTCCGATTGTTAATGGTAAGACCGAAACGTCCATTGCCAGAGCTGTGTTCAAGTGGTGGTTTATTATATAGTAGCAGCTGAACATGGCATTCCTAGGTATAGATAATTATTCTTGAGATTAGAAAGTCACGAATCCCATTACAAATGTTTTAAGAGAAAGACCAGCTCAGACCATCCATTAACTTTTAAATCCAGTTTAATAAATATTCGAAGTTTGAGGCAATTTCGAATTTTTTATTTAAAAAAAATGTTACTCTAAATCAGAACCAAAAATTAATATTAATATTTTTTAACTAAAATAAATGGCGGATTGCTACTGTCGTACAAAGAATGAAGAGTTTAGAGAGACATATGCCAAATAAATATATATATGTTCATTATTTAATACACGTATAAATTATCTTCTATTTATTATAATTACAATTTCCCCGTGCAATAGTAACACAGTAGTAGTCAATCAAAGATGTTCATTATTCTCAATCTCACTTCATTGCCTCAATTTCTAGTTATTTCTCTTTACTCTGTTGAAGGAAAGATCTACCGTAAATATTCTTATTATTTATTGGAAAACCTTTTGAGTATTCAATCTTAACTGATTAATTGGCTTAAAAATGTATAAAATATATAACCACACTTTCATGGAATAATGTAAAATTTTTGTATGTTAGGACAATGATGACCCATCCTCTACTGCTCGCTGGGCTCTGCTTCGCCTGGTATCTCAGCTACGCGTCGGGGCTCGGCAATACAACGACGTTCACTGCTAAGTCTTCGGGTGAGTTCTCTGTATGGTGCTCGTTAATTATGTCTTTGATGGTATTCATGTATCCACTGTATGTTATGCTCATATTAATTCAGTTCAAATCATTACTCAATTGCTCAAATTTCAATCAAGTTTTCCACAACATGTGATATTAATTAATCAATTATTGCTTTGCAATTAATTCTGATATCAATGTAAATGTGAAATTTAAACAAGGAATAACATTACGTGACGAAAGTGCATCCATTTCGTTATTACTACAATTACAATTAACCTATTGTGTGTGATTAAATAAGACGAATGAGAATAATTACAGTCCTGAAAGCTTACTCTTATGGTCTGGATCATTAATTCTAAAGTTTTTGTATTTGCATATTATGATACAAGGTGCTATTTTATTTTATGTAAATTAGGAACTTCCCATAAACTTTCATCAGTTTCGGTTACCTAAAACTGAAACAAGCAAGTGGAAAAAAATGAAATAGCAATAGAAAACAAGCAACTAAAAAGAACAGAAATAATAAAATATATCCCTAACTTTTAATCCAAATCAGCAAAAAAAAATAAAAATTTCATTTAGATATGTGCTATTTCACCAGCGAGGAAGCTCCACAGGCCACAATAATCTTGTATCATATTGTTAAGCAGCACATTTATAATGTACTCACTACTCATGTTAGTATAGAATAGTATCTTCTGCATTGAAGAATAGGCCTGGATAGGCCGGTCGCCGATTCTTGTTCTTTTCTTGACTAGACTGGCCTTTTAATCAAATCTTTTCAACGGACGGTAGGTTTAAAATCGCTTCTAGATTTCAGTTGTTCCGTAGGATACGAGGCATTTCAAAACTAAACATATGCTCCTGCATGGCCTTGTCTAGTCTATTCTTGAACGCGTTCATACTCGGAGCGTCAACAATATCTTCAGGGAGGCTGTTCCACATGTCGGTGACTCGAAGCGAGAAGAAATGTTGTCGCATGGATGAGTTGCACCGCGTTTTTTTAGTTTATAGCTGTGGCCCCTGGTGTTGGTTCTTGTTTCAAATTCTAGTAATCCTTCTGGGACCTTATACAAACCATGTGCATACCTGTATGCTTCAATGAGGTCACCACGCAGGCGACGATAACGGAGACTGGGAAGATCCATATTATTCAATCTTTCTTCATAAGACTTACCCTTTAAGCCTGGAATTATCCTTGTTGCACGTCTGTGAACACTCTCAACTAAATTATTGTCCTTTTCAAATCTCGGAGACCACACTACGTTTCCAAACTCTAGGTTCGGGCGCACGACAGAGGTAAACAACAGCTTCATCATTTCTATATCTAGGTACTCGTAGGAGCGTCTGATCAGCCCAAGCAGTTTATTGAATTTATTAACTTGCGTTTCAATATGCCTAGAAAATTTTAGCTCATTGTCGACACAAACTCCAAGATCTTACTCCACGCAAGACTTCCCAATCATAACCCCCTCGTTGCAACCATGTCTTCTCATACTGTAAGCTTGCTGTTCATTGTTCTTGCCAAGGTGAAGTACTTTACACTTGTCAGCATTGAAACGCAGCTGCCACGCATCAGCGCAGTCAATTAAACTATCAAGATCATTTTACAGTTGCATTTTATTTGACGCATCCTTAACTGTATTATAAACTTTTGTGTCATCGGTATACATGGAGCACATGCTTGACACTACTACATTTCATTTACATTTGACACTACATTTTACACAACTGATGATAACTGATCTATTTGAGTACATTTCCCTCCATTCCCAAAGAATTCATTTTACGTAACAGTCGCTCATGCGGAACACTATCAAATGCCTTGGCAAAATCGAGGTACGGTGCGTCCACTGGCACCCTTTGGTCCAGCAGGCGAAACCAATTATTCAAGGTAGACAGGAGATTAGTGGTGCATGATTTGCCGGCAATAAAGCCATGCTGACATTCCGATAGAAGATGGTTAACAGTCAATTGATCGATAATCCTATCCCTCATAACCGATTCCATCACCTTACACACAACACTAGGAAGACTTACAGGACGGTAGTTACCGGGGTTACTTCTGTCACCGTTTTTGAACAGGGGTGTCACTTGGGCTTCTTTCCAGTCGGCCGGTAAAGTCCCTTCGATTAAGGTTTTTCGAAAGAATACTGTTAAAGAGCCAGCCAGGACGGTTGCTAATTCGTTGAGTAATCTATTGTGGAAACCGTCTGATCCAGATGCCTTGTTGGGATTCAGGGAGACCAGGCACTTGAGAACCTCCTCTTCATGTATCTCAAAACTAGTTAACTTCGAGCCCACTGGCCGCTCCTCAATAGTTGGAATACTGTTCAATTCCTCGTCTGTGAAGACGCTGCTAAAGAACTGATTTAGAACATTGGCCTTTCCCTCCTCAGAAGATATCTTCCGTTGCTTTACATTCAAATCAGCAATACCGTCTCTTGTCTTACACTTCGAACTAGCATACAAAAAGAAGCTTTCGGGTTCTTTTTTGAGTTGTTGTTGAAAAAACATTCTTTTCAAAGTTTTTGACTGCGGTGCGACAAGCTTTTTAGCTTAATTTCGAGCTCTTGCATACAGGTTATACATAGCATCGCTACGAGTTCGTAAAGAACGCTTGTAGGCTTCTCTCTTTGCCTTTAGCTTTGCTTTGACCGTATTGTTCATCCACTGTGTTTTTTCTGCCTCCACCGAGCTTTATCTTAGGTACACACGCATCAACTGCAGACATAACTATGTTCTTGATGAATGACCAAGACTCCGACACATTCATGTTCATAATACAGTCCGAAATGTTCGCTGCACTCACTAATTCACGAAGTTTAACATAGTCGCCATTTGTAAAGTTGAAGCGTTCACGCTTCCGAGGTGTTTTTTCTGTATAGCACATAATACTGAAAAACAATGACTGGTGGTGACTTGCCCAACGGAGCCTCGTGGCGAAGCTCTTCTACCATTGATTCTTCACTAGTAAACACTGGGTCTAGAGTATTTGGAGTCTGATTACCTCTAAAATGGGTTGGCTTTGTGATGTGCTGGAATAAAAATGAGTCTCTCACAGACGCCATGAACAAGGATGAAGGGTGACTCGTATCCCTTGGAGAGGATTCATCTGCCCAGTCTATTTCTGGATGGTTAAAGTCGCCAACGATTAACGTATGCGACCTGCCGAAAGTCATGCTTGGTAGACGACTGTTCAGTACTTTATCGTTATCAGAGGAACTGTTAGGTGATCTATACAGGACATCTTTTAGGAGACTATCCCTGCTTTTTAGAGAGAGCTCACACCACACTGATTCTCTAGCTGATTGGTGCTCTGCTGATAACTTGTTGGGCCCCATAAAAGGTTCTAACACACAAAGCTACGCCTCTACTACACTGCTCTTCGTTTAAATTATGAAAGCAATCAAAACCTGGCAACTGAAATTCAACTGGTAAAATTTTCCCCCGTGATTTTTAGGGAGTGTCTCTGTAATACAAATAATGTCTATACACTCGTTTCCGATCACAGTTAACAGTTCATTTCTTTTGTTCAAAACGGAATCAGAGTTCGAGTAGGAACGTTTCAAAACTTTTATGGACTCAAAAGATATTAGGGACTCTAAATGTGAGAAACTTAATTCATTGCTGATGACAAATATTATGGGATTGTTGAAGAGATTCACATGTGTACTCCATTAGCTTCTATCATGCTGTGGGTGCCAACGAGCATACCGGAAGATGTTTTGGATAGATGGTGGGATTTTTGGAGATACTAAACTGTTATCAATCCCTGAAATCTGTAAATGCCCATTTTTATGAAAATCTAATAATATATTTTGAGTGCTGAGTTTGAAGCCATTTGTGTTCACTGATTTTTGTTCATGCAACAAACGGTTCAGCTTGAACAGTACTTCAATAATTTCTTTATCACGTAGAATTCGTAGTACTGCACGTGTGGAAGCACGCGAGGAATCCATGCGGCGGGAATTATAAGAATGTGGTTCAGATGCAATTTAGGAAAAAGTGTTATCATTTAAGGAAGTTGAATTCTTTCATTCTACATCACTGTCCTAAGATATCAAATTATTCTTATCTTAATTAAAATTTACCTTCTAAATTTCATGTTAAAAAACAATTTCAGGAAATGGAAAGCGCTTCTCTGGAAGTCCTCTGCTGAGCACAAAAGTGAGCCGTCCACTGGAGTGCTTGCGATTGTGCGGCGATGCTGCGCCACGCTGTTTCTACTTCAACTACAAAGGTGATGTACCCTTAACCAGTAGCTCAACTAGCCTCAGTTTAAATTGGTGTCCAATGCTCAAGAAGTGCGCTGCTATCATTGATCGACAAACAAATTAATCAATAAATAGTGAGAGAGAACTTGGTATGAGAGATTCTTCATAGAACATGAGATGTAGTGATTTAATCGGAATGATTTCCCTTAGTAACCTTTTCTGTTTCATGCAAATATTAAAAGCCTGCTCATTTGAAATGAATTAGCAATGGACCTTATAGCAGAGCCCTCGAGTGAACGTTAGCAAGCCATTTTATGGAGGACATTTTCATGCTATAATGTAGTAGCCATGAAAATGAAATCTAACATCGCTATTGAGCCAGATAATACATCACTATAGAGCCAGACAATACATCACTATTGCGCCAGACAATACATCACTATTGAGCCAGACAATACATCACTATTGAGCCAGACAATACATCACTATTGAGCTAGGCAATACATCACTATTGAGCCAGACAATACATCACTATTAAGCCAGACAATACATCACTAATATGCAGACAATACATCACTATTGAGCTAGACAATACATCACTATTGAGCCAGACAATACATCACTATTGAGCCAGACAATACATCACTATTGAGCCAGACAATACATCACTATAGAGCCAGACTATACAGCACTATTGAGCCAGACAATACATCACTAATATGCCAGACAATACATCACTATTGAGCCAGACAATACATCACTATTGAGCCAGACAATACATCACTATAGAGCCAGACTATACAGCACTATTGAGCCAGACAATACATCACTAATATGCCAGACAATACATCACTATTGAGCCAGACAATCCATCACTATTGAGCCAGACAATACATCACTATGGAGCCAGACAATACATCACTATTGAGACAGACAATACATCACTATTGAGCAAGATGGATGACAATAATGCAAAAATATTCACTTTGAATTTCCATGCTAGAGATTGTCATAGTACAGCTTCTTTTCCTCCCTAAAAACATATTCAATGTGACAATTAGCGATTAAAAATAATCTTGTACAGTTGATGGAAACATAATTTTCTTTCGACACCCGTGTGCCTTTTTGTCACACTCTGTTTACCATTGAGCTCTCAAATGTTGACCTCACAAATGTTAAGCACATATCTATAGGAATTCTTATTATATGTCTTTTCATATTTCTAAGGAATCGCTGTATGGTAGCATTCGCTAGGTCTTTAATTTTTTCAATGTTATTAAATCCGATAAATCACTCCGCGTGATAATGTTGTATTCGGGTGTAACTCCTTATTCAAGCAAAATAAAATTGTATAGGCGGATATGTTAATTGAAACGCCTAAGATAATTGAAATGAGATCAATTTTTCATGGGTTGAGTAGGTTTTTTTATTATGGCCGGACATTAGAACCACTCAATTATTATGTCTGGTTTGCAGGCGGTGCGTGTGAGCTGATGAACAACTTGACGACTCTTGTGGCTGCTCCAGGCTGGGCCTATTACTCCATGGTACCGCCACCACCTGTAAGTTCTCATAATCTAAGTTCTGATAATCGAAGTTCTGATGATCAAAGTTCTGATAATCAAAGTTCTCATAATCGAAGTTCTGATAATCGAAGTTCTGACTCTCATATGAAAATTAAATTAGTCGTTACGATTTTAACACATTTTGTTACCATGAATTTGAAATTCATCTCTCCGATAACGCGTTGCTAAAGGCCCAGCTGGGCCTCCGATAACCCACCAATGCATGCGCCGCTTCGTGCACTTGTGCGAGTTTTGATTGTAAGGCTTTTAGTTGGCATAGCGGCGAAGGATCAGAGCGCGGTATTCTGGACTACGTTATGAAATCCTAGCATACTTCTCAGATCGGCAAGTTTTTACTCTTTGTCTTTGTACGGGCAAGTCTTTGTAAATCATTAGCATCACGGGCTGCCATCAAGCGTCAGTTGCCTCTCGCCGATGTCCGTTCGACCACAAGAATCCTCGTGTAGCGGCAGCAGAGTAATTTACGACATCTGTGTGTAGTGTGTACCCTCATGTGTGTAAATGCCAATATCACATTAAGGAGGCTGATCGAGAAATGCCTGGTATACCCACCGATCAGTGGAAATTAAATATTTCAACCAAAAGACAATTTAAAAAATAGAATGTTTAGTACAATACATAAACATGAATGTGCGCAAATTTAAGTCATCATAAATGTTGTAATATAAAGCTTACATATTTTTTAGGACGGTTGCGGAGTTGCTGTAGGCAAGTAAAAAACTGGATAGACATAAAAAAATTTAGATTGATATCTTATTCACGTGTGGAGTTAGATCGAACCTAGTGAATGAAACAATCCCATTGAAATTTATCCGGGTTCGCCGCAGTCACAATTAAATCGTACTCAGAATTTACCGCTTTGTGAGTCTGGGCCTCAATCCCAACATATAAGTCACCATGTAAATTTTATTTATCACAGGGAAATTGAACTAGGTTAATAGCTTCTAGACAAATTTTTGGATCAGTCCGATGACTCTTGTGACTTTAACGGGTAACAGCTGCTAGTACTTTAGCGGGGTTGGTAATTAATGAGACTTGGGCGGCAGTCCCACTAATGAGAGTAAAAGGCCGCAATAAGATTACGAAGGTAGTTTATTTCAGTAAAGGGGTCATAGGGCGTTGCAATCAGCAGAAGGAATGATGGCCAGATATAAGTTAAAACTCAGCACCAGTCTGAGAATAATGGATCTAATAGCCAAAATGACGGCTTCTAACAATGCCAGGAATAAGGCGTTCAAGAACAGGAGTTAGATCATGTAATATGTGACATTCACCGGTAGAGACCTGCAAACAATGGTTATCATTAGATCATGATCAATGTCATTTGTTACGTTCTTTGCAAGTCTAACGTTCTTAATCAGTTCTTCAGAAGTGTGTTCACAGATTAGGACTTGAACAGTATTCCAGATATATGGAGCGCCCAGTTCTCTCGAAGTTAACAGGTTTTGAAATACACGAAGAAGAGGTTCCCAAGCGTGTATTCTGGTAGCTCTAAATCCCAACAAGTTATGTGGACCAGACGGCTTCCATCCCAGATTGCTCAAAGAATTAGCAACCGCTCTGGCCGGCCCATTGTATTCTTTCAAAAAACTTTGAACGCTTTTTTCCGATTGGAAAAAAGCTCAAGTAACACCATTGTTCAAAAAAGGTGACAAAAGTTGCCCCGGTATTTATCGCCCTGTCAGTCTGACAAGTGTTGTTTGCAAGGTAACGAAATTTGTTGAGGGATAGGATTATCGATCACTTGATTGTTCACCATCTACTATCAGAATGTCAACATGGTTTTATTGCCGGTAGATCCTGCACCACTAACTTATTGTCTACGTTGAACGATTGGACTCGCCTGCTGGACGAAAAGGAAGCAGTGGATGCATTGTACCTCGATTTTGCCAAAGCATTTGACAGTGTTCCGCATGAGCGGCTGTTGCGTAAAGTGAAGTCTTTGGGAATTGAGGGAAACGTACTCTAATGGATCAGAGATTTTCTAGTAGGTAGATGACAACGTGTCAGTATTAACGGAACCGTGTCAGACTGGGCATCAATGCGCAGTGGCGTGCAGCAAGGAAGCGTTCTTGGGCCTATTTGGTTCGTTGATTTTATAAACGATCTGCTAGAAGTAGTGTCTAGCGTGTGCTCCATGTATGCCGACGACACAAAAATTTATAATACAGTGAAAGATGCGTCAAATAAAGCGCAATTGCAAGATGATCTTGACAGTTTAGTTAACTTGGCTGATACGTGGCAGCTGCGGTTTAATGCTGACAAGTTTAAAGTACTTCACCTCGGGAAGAACAATGAACAGCAAGATTACAGTAAGAAAAGACATGGTTGCAACGAGAGAGTAATGATTGAAAAGTCTATTGTGAAAAAATATGGAGTTTGTGTCGACAAGGAGCTGAAAAATTTTAAGCATGTTGAAATGCAAGCTAATACATTCAACAAACTTCTTGGACTAATCAGACGCTCTTACGAGTTCCTAGATGCAGAAGCGATGAAGCAGTTGTTTGTTGCTGTCGTGCGCCCGAATCTAGAGTTTGGAAACGTTGTGTGGTCACTGAGATTTGAAAAGGACAAAAATATAATAGAGAATGTTCAAAGACATGCAACAAGGATAATTCCAGGCCTGAAAGGCAAGTCTTATGAAGAAAAATTAAAGATTATGAAGCTTCCAAGCCTCAGTTATCGACGTCTGCGTGGGGACCTCATTGAAGTATACAAGTATACTCATGGTTTGTACAAGGTCCCGAAGGATTACTAGAATTTGAAACAAGAACCAACACCAGGGGCCACGGCTTTAAACTGAAAAGACTGCGCTGCAACTTCTCCAAGCGACAACATTTCTTCTCGCTTCGAATCACCGACATGTGGAACAGCCCTCGGTAATTTTGTTCTTTGACGGTAATTTTGTTCCCTCGACGGTAATTTTGTTCTTTGCATGGATTGGTGTGTGCCATTTTTCTTGTCCTCGGTAGATCTAACCCGGCGCTTCTTTTGACGGTAATTCATCTATTAGCTTTCCTCCTTGTGTTTTAGTTGAGTGTTTGACTTTGCAGTACGTAATCCGAGGAACGGCCGTCGTTGCTGCCGTTAAGCCTTTTCGGTCTCGAAAATATGGTGGGCGCAGCCGTAGGCCTCAAATTTCATTCCTAAATAAGCCCTGAAGCCAACGCCCAGCTTCACCATGCATTAACTTTAATTAGCCTCAGAGCTAGAAGCCGCATACTACGCTTGAAATCCGTTATCCATACAAGCGACTCATTGCCGAAAGATATTTGGCGCCGTACCCAAAATATGGGTAGACATGAAAGTTGGGTGTTTTATTGCTCTAATAACAACATTTGGTTTACGCTATCACTGATGTAATTCATTTAATATGTGACTGACTGGTGAGCTCGGCTACTTGGTATAGATAATTTGTAAGCTGATTCAGCATGAAATTCAGTATCATGTGTATGCTACAGTAGCATAAGTAGAAACAATGAAAAATTTTACCGAGTAAGCCTAATGGAGGTTTGAACAAACAACCTCAAAACACAATGTGAGGCTTGTTCGAGTGCCATAGAGTAGCTGTTTCAAAATTATTCGCTCATGTATCGACTTGCAGGCGAGGAAACAATATTTTAAAAATGAACTAAATGAAGCAAAAGGGAACAGGTCCAACGTGTCATTCATCAATAATAATTAAACTCATTTGTATGGGCACTAGTACTTAGCATGAAAAAAATAGTTGATATTATTGGGAATATTCCAACGCTAGTGTAATTATTCCACTATAATATTTTTATTCGGAATCCTAAGTAGTGGGTTAACGGTTCGAGAAAAATACTATTATACTGAATATTTCAGAAATTTGAGAAAAAAGAACGTATTCCTGAGGAAGAAGGAATCAAATTCTCAGCAAGAGCTTCTTTTAGCAGGAGCGCTTCGTACGAGTTAGTTTGATCTTGTAACTGCACGTATAAGGCCATTAAAGTGAACAGCAAAAATTGGGCCATTAACTTTTTGATGTTCCATAATTAAGGTTTGAGTTAATTCGATCTTAAGATTTAAGGGTGCGGCACTAACGTGTGAACAAGTAAATATCAATGGTAACGGGAGCGTTGTGCACAATAGAATAAAAACTTTTTAATACATTGAGAGCAATCGTACAATAAAACCAAAGAGCGACGTTCAAACTGAACGACAACGGATAATGGAGGAGTAATAAGAATTAATGATCGGTTGTTGCGCCTCGGCTCTGTACAGTAACGCGGGCACGACTTTTTCTGCATCTTCCATGCCCCAAGCATTACGGGCCTTAGTGCTCAGAATGAAATTCAAGATGGCTGAACTAAGTACTAAAGGTTTTAAAGCTAGGCTGTCGTACGTGCTTCTTTTGATGCCTCGTAATGACAAACCAACCATTCAATACTGTTATTTGTTTGCTTAGATTTGAATAAATTTAGCACTATCTTCATATAATATTATTGGCATGAAGATCCCTGCCAAACTTTCGCGCCAATGCGGTTATAATGCAGCGGCGGTTGCTATCAGCAACCTGCTATTAAGTGACAATAATTAAATATTATGATTAACATATCCTAATTGATTTTCAGAAACAGGATCCTTGTGCTAGCAACCCGTGCAATGCAGCAAAAGTTTGTGTGCCGTACTCTCTGGAGACCGAGCTGCCGTACAACCCCGGTGTCCTGCCCCTGCCAGGTTATATCTGCTCCGGCGCACAGCTCTATCTTGACAAGCGCAGTCAAGGCAAAAGTTAGTATTGATATATTTTTTTAATATTTAACGTCCTCGATCTGTTAATGTAACACAAAACAAATCAGACTAAAACTTAGAATAAATACTATATCTTTTCTTGAATCACCATATTTTTCATTTATACTTGCGATTAGGATTTGCTAAATCGTAGAATATAATAGACAGACGTTAAAAAAACAATTACCAACATCTTAAAATGTTCTTTTTATAAATTTTAACTTTTTTAGCGGCCATTTCTTGCATCTTTGTTCTGTAAAGAAGTGAGACACGTTGTATAACCCAGAACCTAGTATTCCCAGGCTAGTTTAAGATTTAAATTTGTGACTCACGGCTGCGCTCTCAGACAACACATGCTAGACACAGACCGACACACAGACTCAGCTCATGCAACCTCATGGGACTATAAAAAGCGTGATGCATGTTATACCATCTACAGTTGTACGCAAATGCTCACCTATTTGATTAAAAAAACTCGTGTTGTTGCAATTAATGGCTGTTACCGCCAATGTGGTGGTTGGAAAAGCTACAAATTAATGATTCCACGCGTCCATAAGAGACATCAATCCGTACTTTCCTTTCCTGAAGAAGTTGAAAAATCTAAAAAGTTTTTAAAAATATTTGAATATTTTAAGTTTTCATGATCTAGGTTATGAAGTTGTGTCTTGTTAATATCGTTTAGATTCTACGCCGCAAAAAGGGCCTGAGTTAGACAATTAATTTCTAATGAATTAAACTAAAAATTTTTTACGTAAATTGGTAAATAACATTCCTTTCAAACTTATTGATGCAAAAACCCAATTCTTATCTAAGTATCATTGTGATCTATTCGCATGCGTTTCAATTTTCTGACATATCATGCAAGTTATATTCGAGTTAGGGAGCCATAAAAATACGAGTTTGAACTAATTATAGTTGTTTGACTACTTTCTTATTGTTCGTTACGTTGTAATTTTTTCCATGAATAAACAGATGACTGAAAGCATTATTCATACATAAATGAATCTCTGATTGCTTTTCCGTACGTTAGGTTGCGAACTTGTGGTTGTCAAAGGCGTGGACGTCTACGGGCACGACTTATACAATGGGTATAACCCCCTCTCCGAGGCCTTTTATCGCTGCTCCGACTACAACTGCGTGATGTTGCTCATTGTTTTTTTCTGTAAGTTTTGACACAGATGTGCTCATGGCGGCTTTTGATCCACGCTCGAGTCTTGCGATTGATTTTTTGTTATAAAGCCATATACTGTATTATATGCTAAATATTCATGTTATTTCTTCGTTAATTAAACAGATACGACAGTAAGTGGATTTTGAGAATTGATATCACTTGTTTGCTTAAATCGCAAATTAACTAAGAATTTAAAAGAAAAGAAAAGTCCACAAAAATTCATATCTTTATAGAAAACAATTCGAAGACCAGCTCTATCGTCAGTTCGTAGAATCTAGAATCACAAATCAGAAGTCACAAATTAATACATTGGAAGCACAGTACGAAATTAAAAACCTAAATTTACAAGTAATAGACAGAACAAAAATACTATCTATTCACAATTTCAAGGGGATTGGAGTTAACAGCTGAATTCAAACTTGGGCCTAAGTTTAAAGATGTGCAATGATTCTAAAATGCGCAAATCGGAAGTCCTGGAGGTGGAAGCTAACACTCAAAAGTCACTGTCAGAAATAGGGACATCTTACTGCTCGGCGTGAGCGCGCACAGCTGAATGAGGGGGGCGCGATAGCAACTGTCCGGTTCTACAACTCCTGCCCTCATGCTCAGAGACCCTGGAATAAAGATTGCGTGACGTCATCCCGACGTACGCAGATGCACATCGTGCACAACAATATTGATAAACCAGGGACGATCGCATATGAACAGAGAGCAAATCTTTATATCTAAAGAAAGAACCGATTGTGAAATTGTTTACCAGCACAATATGAAGATTTTGACATTTGGGAAGTATCTATTGAACAAGACTTTTAATTCTCTTGACATAGCTTCGGACGCGGGGCCGAGGTATGGAAAAGAACAATAAATAACTGTCCTATCATCGCGCTCAGGAGCAACCTCACTGTATCGCTTCAACATGAATTTCTTGATTTGGGTTAAAAACTTGCCGGAAATCCATTAAGCGAGAAAATATTATTGCGTAAAAATTCAAATTCAGCGTGCATAGCATGGTATGTAGAACAAATGCGAAAACCTCTGTGTAATAATGTTTGAAGCCCATTTAACTTGAATCGGAACGAACAAAAACTAAAGAAACTGGTACTTAGGCCGGTGAAAGTCGGTTTTCGGTACACAGAAGTCAGAAAACGGCCATTAGATTTGGTAACATTGCAATCGAGGAAGGACAAACTATTGTTAGATTCAAGCTCCATAGTAAATTTGATAGAATTATGTTGTGACGATTTTGTAAACTCACAACATAATTCTATAAAATTCACTATGGAGCTTGAATCTAACAATAGTTTGTCCTTCCTCGATTGCAATGTTACCAAATCTAATGGCCGTTTTCTGACTTCTGTGTACCGAAAACCGACTTTCACCGGCCTAAGTACCAGTTTCTTTAGTTTTTGTTCGTTCCGATTCAAGTTAAATGGGCTTCTAACATTATAACACAGAGGTTTTCGCATTTGTTCTACATACCATGCTATGCACGCTGAATTTGAATTTTTACGCAATAATATTTTCTCGCTTAATGGATTTCCGGCAAGTTTGGTTTTTACCCAAATCAAGAAATTAATGTCGAAGCGATACAGTGAGGTTGCTCCTGAGCGCGATAGTATGAAAGTTATTTATTGTTTTTATTCATACTTTGGCCCTGCGTCCTTAGCTATATCAGGAAAATTAAGTCTTTTTCAATAGATACTTCCAAATGTCAATCTTCATATTGTGCTAGTAAACAATTTCACAATTGGTTCTTTCTTTAGATATTAAGATATGCTGCCTGTTCACATGCGATCGTCCTTGGTTTATCAATATTGTTGTGCACGATGTGCATCTGCGTACGTAGGGATGATGTCACGCAATCTTTATTCCAGGGTCTCTGAGCATAAGGGCAGGAGTTGTAGAACCGGACAGTTGCTATCGCACCCCCCTCATTCAGCTGTGCGCGCTCACGCCGAGCAGTGTGATGCCCCTATTTCTGACAGTGACTAGGGTGTTAGCTTCCACCTCCGGGACATCCGATTTGTGCATTTTAGAACCATTGTACATCTTTAAACTTAGGCCCAGTTTGAATTCAGCTGTTAACTCCTATCCCCTTGAAATTGTGAATAGATAGTTTTTGGTTACGTCTATTATTTGTGAATTAAGGTTTTTAATTTCGTACTTTGCTTCCAATGTATTAATTTGTGACTTCTGATTTGTGATTCTAGATTCTACGAACTGACAATGGAGCTGGTCTCCGAAACGTTTTCTATAAAGATATGAATTTTATGTGGACTTTGCTTTTAAATTCTTAGTCAAGTTGATTTAACTTTGAATTATTTGACAGAAATTCTAGGCTCTGATTGCTAGAAATATCTGTTCGACTAAATTATTTAAAATAAAATAAGAAATTGCGCAACTACCTTCATGTTAAAATATTTAGCCCCATAATCTAAGAGGAACATTGGGATACAGATAATGAGCTATATATTAACTTGATAAAATGTATATAATTCAATCTAAACTAATCACGAATGAATATTTACAAATAATTCACGGATGAATATTCGTATAATTTATACAAATCTCGTATGAATGTATAAATCTTGCTTGTCAGGAAAACTTCTCAGGAACATTAACAATTCGGGATCAAGCTCGAGTTCGGTCTCAATGAGTTATGATCAGAATAAAAGAAGATCAAACCAATTCGGCACTGCTTTCGATGCTTCATGCATTGTAACTTACCTCCATTTATCTTATAATTCACACTCATTATTTGCTTTTCTTAGGAAATGAAGGAGCAACGTAAAATAAATAATAGAAATAAATTATGAAGCCAGAAGATCAGATGCTCTGTGAATCACTTTACGTTGCGTTATGGGAAATGGTCCGTTTACTCATACCTCCGTTGAAAAAAGTCAGTGTAAAGTTATTTGCAAACTATCATTCCTATGTTCAAAATATAAAAACCCATATTAGTATTGTTTCAAACGCTTCTGTTACGAGAATTTGATGCCATTTGACGCAATTTTAGTTGGTCTGATAGTCCATTTTTCGGTTTGAAAGCAACTTCATAGCTTAGTAATTCATAACAGTGATTCGGCTGCATTATGCCCCGAAAAGTGTAGTGATAGGATGCTAACTTTGCGTTGGAGTGGTCGGCTTCATTCGATGAAATTTCTGTGTTCTGTCACAGCGGACGGGAGGACACTGACACTCATCAAGTCCTCGGCGCCTATTCTGGGTGCCACAAACTCTTCTTACGTGTACCCGGGTCTGGTAGTGGTCGGCTGGTTCCCTGAGTGTACCTGAAACACGCACCGCCGGAGCGGCTTGCGGAACATCATATGTGTATCTGGAGGGCGAACCTTTTAATTGTGCTGTTGGTGTCGCACGCGGTGCCCACGTGAAATATACTAGTACTAAAACTCACGTTGGCTGCTACATCCTGCGGGAATTAGGGTACATTATACATCATTTGCTCTTGCTGAGTATTTTGGCATGATATACTATTAACCATTTGCTGATGTGAAGTATTTTGGCACCAGATTTTATTCACCAGTTGCTGATTTTTGTTTTTGCTGATTTTTTTTTTTTGAACGATGATTGATTAAGGATCATGTTCGAATTTGTCTCATTAAGTATACACGACAATTTATGTTCAATATTATGTTTGGTAATATAATTAATTGTATTCATCTTTGTTGGCGAAATAATTTTTGCTCAACATCTTATGCCCAATTCGCTGTTGTCCATTATTTTTAATTGTTCAATTTATCCGGAATTTCGTGGTCATGAAATATTTTGGCGCTATAAGTTCCTCATAATTTCCTTTGGAGAATAATTTGTACAATTTTGGAATCGATTACTGTCGTTAAGTATTTTAATTTTTCAAATAATGCGCAATAGCGTGCTGAGGAGCATTTTTGCTTGGCAATTTATGAAGTATTCTGGTTCACGACTTTTTTACACGACACGCTTTCACCGTGATTACGATTACCGAGGCGTTAAGGTTGCCTAAAATAATAATATTATTATTTAAATGAATGATTTATTTACTGTGGCACTGGATTCCAATATATGTAATGCTCACATTCTGTTGCGAAGTATCCCGGAACAAGTATATAGTTGCCTGTTTACATGTAGTTTGATACATGTAAACAGGCAACCATCATGTTAAATGGCATATGCTCTCGACGGATCAAATTCTTTAAGACTCCAACGATTTCTGTGGGGCCTACGTCATGTAGTCTGTGTCCCGGTCTTTCCCGCTGGTCTGGGAAAGCTTGTTTCCGGGAATTGCAAGCTGCCCAAATAAAAATTAAGAGTGGAGCACCTATGTTTTTATGCCCAAATAAAAATTAAGGGTGGTGCACCGATGATTATAGGTGGCAATAGCAGTTTATAGGTGGCGTAAAAGTGGGTAGCCAGATCTGTCAAAAATCGACAATAAAACCTCAATAAATCGAGAGGGAGACGAGTATAGGTGGCAGTCATCGATGAATCATTGATGAAGTATAGGGTCTGAATAATCGGTAGCGCATTGCAGGCAAATCTCTTTTAAGCCACTGAAAACCGTTTGCCTACACTCTGCACGAAGGTATTTGCCACTGTAATAATTTATCCAACATAGAAAGGTGTTATTGGGTTGCGGGTCATTCGAGATCAAGACGAAACCATGACTTCGTTCTGTGTGCTTGGCTTTTAAGATTAAGTTGTGTCAAGAAAATTTAGCGTGAATTCGGTAGGTACCAATAAAACTGATAGACAGAAGCAAGGATTTCACAAACTTTTCAAGCCAATGTGAAGCCACTGGCCATGTATCAGACTGTTCCCTGATATAAATTGTCCGAGGAACAATGGAAAATTTGACTGCAATAAATAGTTTTTCCATAGATGACAGCGAATCCAATTTCTCATGTTCACCTGAAATATTGCGTAAATTTATTGTGAATTTTGCGTATGCGCCAACTGGGTGTGTTGGAAATATTGCGATCAATTGAGACTAATTATATAATTATTGCTTCATTAAGTATAAATTGTACGGGTCAATTAAGTGTGTTCCATAATATTTACAATTTTCTCAAGTTGCCCCATTTATCTAAATTCAAAAGCCACGTTGACGTAGTCGGCAGCGGCTCGGCATCTTTGTAAAGCACAGCGGAGACGTCAAGCGCAGCGAGAGATTATAGAGTCCAGTAAGCACACGTTCATACCGGTTGGGGTTGGGTTGACGCACGGGTTGGCTTGACGCGCGTCGGAGTTGAGCTTTCTACTAATCTTTACCTCGTCCTGCTTGAAACAAGTGCTTTCCGAGTAATTTGCTCGTCACAAAAGTATCCTTTTTACGCAAAGGATACGAGTAAAAATTCGGTTTTCCATCCTGACTTCAATAGTGAAATTTTAGATCTTCTGTGAACAAGGCACGAAAAGGAAAATAATCGGCGACAGGCCACATCAGGCATACACTGCAGCGCCGAGATCACTATGTTATGTTATGTTATTTAATATACAGTCAGATAATTATTTCGATTTTAAGTTTAAATTTCTAATAAAGTGGCCCCGGTATCTTTCCTAAGCAAAAAACTAAAGATTATGCTAGAGAAAAATAGTGACTAGAAGTGGTGCATGTATTTCACGCCTGACATTTCAAAATAATCATGTAATATCAATTCCTTATTTCACGTAAGAATATTCTTGGTGATAATATATCGAATCAAACCGCAGTCAAAATTGGTGTAATGTTCACATTACGAAACTTCGATACATATTAAGCATTTTCCCGTGGCCTTTACTCTGAGCTGAACAATCGTTCGTTATGGATAAATGAAGCTTCTTTTAGCGGCTGTTTTATCGAATATAGCAGCATGTTCAAATAAAATCGTAGATGGAACCATCTAATCATCACGGTGCTAGCATTAACTTCTCCCATTTGATGAAATTAATATTTGCAATACTTCAGTTAAATCTTTCAAAATTACTCGACTGCCATGTCCCCTCCGATGGCTCAACGGTAGAGGCTCGGCTTCGCGTGGGGGAGATCGGAGTTCGAATCCTGCAGGCAGGGAGTTTCTTCAAGTCGATTTCTCACGAGGTATGTGTATGGTACTCTGATAATTTGTTCCTGCTGTATGTCTGACATTGTTACTTGTACTGCCATGGTAGATTAGCACACGTAGCCCTTAGAATGGTGATTGAATGAAGCAATATCTGTAAATGCAGAAGCATCGGATTTGAAATTAAAGGAAAAATTGTTATTGACTTCATTTTAAAGGTGGCCATCGGTGACTCATTGATGCGCCACCGGTGCCAAAGGGTAGTTATTAGCGGAAGAAGAACTTTACGGGTAGGTGGGCCATCGGCAGGTTATAGGTGTGGGATAGGTGGTGCACGCCACCCTTAATTCACTGTATAAATCATAGTTGCTCCACCTATGGCGTCCGCCGATAGCCATCTGGGCTGACCATTGGAGGCGCACCTACCGCCATTTGTAACTATAATGCGCTTTGGTTATACTTTGCTGCTCAGGGAAACTATGTTCTGCAGATAATTTTTTGGACTGATTACTTTTCTTATTTTGGACTTCCTATGCTGGTTTTCCTTCACGCCTCATCGTCCTTTTGTTCTCTTTGGAGAGCACAAGCCGGCCACGGCTTATTACACCCCGTTCCACCAACGTTTTTTGTTTCCGGTGTAAGGCTTTACCCATAACATGTTCGGTCCATCCACCACTGCATCGCAGACTGTAAATGTCTCTGCTCTTTTCCAATTTTCTATTCCCGCGTATCCTCTTGCCCAGGGGTTTACAATCTTTGTGTGCTCGCGCAACACTTGGAGGTCCAGAAGAGTATCTTTGCACCACCTGGTACCACCGCGTACCATCAATACGATATATATATATGTATCTAATGTGCACTATTGTTTGCTTCATATGTTCTTACTTCGGTAACAATTAGTTTATTTGAAATGTGTGCTGTGTGAATTTAATGCTGGGCTCTGATGTCAGAAGTAGTACAGCGGCCTCCTCTATCTCGCACGCCGAGACAGGATACAAACATTATGGCCATGGATATTGCCATCCCATTAACAGCTCCCCTCCCGGCACCGTTAACCTCCATATACTCTCTTAACTTTTGCCCTTCAGGCTACAGCACAGCCATGGATGTTATTTTCACCATCTTGAACGATTACATTATCGTTAGGAACTTCAATACACGGAATGCCTCCAAGTAATTTTTAAAACACAAGAGAGCCTTTACAAAGAGTATCGTCATAAAAAGAGTTGATCTTCACCTACTCCTCAACCTTCGGCCCTTCTTTCTTGAAATGTGGCTTTGAACTCTAACCACACCTAACCTCCACGATGTGCCCCTAATATTTTGTAAGCGGTGCTTATATCTTAGATTTTCTCCTAACTGAACGGCCAGTTTCATTGTCATCCCTTCCTTCTTCTGAAAAGGTTCCTCCCCAATCATCAACTGAAGAGCTCTTGGAATTGTCTTGTATCCGGAGGCCAATGTTTTGCGTCACATTAAAGCTGTTGAGAGCTCGCATTAATGACTAGGTCCAGCGCAAAATATTCACTGGGATAATCGAGTTGTCTATCTCGTTTGCCAGTCAGAACTGTGTCACATTCAGCTGTTGCAGCTCGAATTAGTAATTAATTCCATTTATAATCTCGAGTAATTATATTATCTGATGATTCGGTAAAAGCTTCAGTTGTACGTTTCAGATCCACCAATATATACGGTGTGCTTAAATGAAATCATGCATAAACTTGTAACTTTGTGTTTCTCCCTCAAATTGTTACAGAAATTTATGAACTTTGGGCCTTTTTAAGTGCTAAATTAAGCGTAGGATTCCATAGAATTGAATTTGTAAAGTGATCGTTTAAAATTAAATTGAGGAGTTCAAAAAAGTGTTAGATACTAAGCATGTTTCTAGGATCATAGTACATTTAGTTGAAAAGAAAATGCGGAACCATTAACATCGGATTGTTAGATACTAACGTTGCTAGGGACGGAAATTTGAAGCAGATCTTCTGGCAAAACAAATAATCCTGAACTGACATATTGCAAAGACGAAACAATTGAACTGATATAAACTGTACTGAAACAGGCAACGTCTTACGTTGACTAACAGAGTATCTACTCTGACTGATAGACTAAAAAAAATAATTAGACCTTGTGATGAGTTTAGGACGTCGTAGCTCACGGTCAAGCTGATGCTCCGCCTTCGTCGTCCCCCGTCTCCGAGTCGTCGTCGGATGGAACGTTGGACGTGTTCCGTCAATTTGCCCTCCTTTGGGCCAGCTGATGCAAGATGCTGTTGCTTGTCACTTGCTGAGGGTGGTTTCCCATTACTGG